CCCTTTTCTCCACTCTAATGTGCTCTCATTCTGCTTTTGAGAATTAAAGTAATTGGTAGGTCATTTTACAAAGAACTTTAATATCAAAGACTTCTTCCAAAAATCTAAAATAGACTCAAGGTCATGAGGAAAGTTATACAGGATAGTGGGGGGTTGTGTTCTCAAAAGCCAGATTTCACACAATGGCAGGCACTAAATCTAGTCACGTGTGCTTGCAGTAGAACAGAAGACACTGAAGTTAATAGAGGCTGGTCTTTTTCATGATGCGCAGGAACTCCTGCTCATTGACCTCTCCATCTCCATCTCGATCAGCTTCATCAATCATTTCCTGCATGACAGTAAGGATTCAGGTTAGATTAATTAATAAACTAAAAGGTGATTAAGTAATGGGCTTTTAAAAATGTTATGTGAAAGCATGACTGTAGTTTACCTAAGCAGATATGATAGATGATAAATACTTAAAATTATTCCTAATAAATTATTTGAAAATCAAGTCACACATTGTCATACATATCAATTGGAGGGGACCTTGAAGAACACCTTAACTAGACCTAAAAAAGTAAATTCAATTGCACATATGTGTTTTTCTGGAAGCAGGGTTCATAAGGTGTGTTGCATTCACAAAGGAGAATTAAGTTGTCAGTAGAGGGACAAGAAGACACTAGCTTTCCTTCAAAGATGTGCTCCCACCAGAGAAAATGCAACTCAGAAAAGCTAGAGGGCTCAAAGGGAGGAATTCTTAGTTCTACACTCAGGTATTACAGACCTGTAGCTCCTCATCAGTCAGGTTCTCACCCAACTCTTTGGCCACGCGCTTCAGATTCTTGAATGATATCTTTCCAGTTTCATCATCATCGAAGAGCTTGAAAGCTTTCAGGATTTCTTCTTTGGTATCTTTCTCAGACTTAACAAGTAGAACAGAAAATGCATGAGTAAGAAATTACCACATCTGGTCATGTCCTACAGCTCCACTGCTGCCTACTCACCCTATCTTTTCCAACAGCATAACATGAGTCTAGATATGGGGCAATAGGAAGCTAGGCAAGCCATGTTCTCCAATCTGAGGTGACATTGCCTCCTAATCTATTGCCCTATCCCATATCTAGTTCATAAGTGCTTCAGAATTCAGTGGAAAGAGCTGTCTGCTTGATGCAATAAGCCAAGAGTCTTTGAGGAATAGACATGAGGACTTGTTTTGGGGGCCTAAAGTACTGTTACCATAGGTAGAAGCTGTAGGCTTCTGCAGCAAACCAAAGCCAGGCTTTTTAATGTGCAGCACCAAGTAACACTAGAAATCTACACCAGCTGCCACTAATTGTCTCTTGTTCAGAACTTTCCCCAATTCTGAAGCCAAGGAGGAACTTATAAGAGAACTAGCTTGTTGGATTCATTCCTTAACCCCTCCACCCTCCTCTCCCCACTTTACCCCATGGTCTCAATGATAGCCTTCATGACATAGGTCCTAGGTTGCAGGAGATCAAATATAAGCCAGGATAGAAAAAGAGGACAAATTTAATAAAATTATTAAAAAACCTAGAGGTTAAAAAGGAAATATAGGGGCAGAGGCTGTAGCTCAGTGGTGGAACATTTATCTTGCACATATGAGGCACTGGGTTCAATCCTAAGCTCCACATAAAAATAAATGAATAAAATAAAGATATTGTGTCCATCTACAACTAAAAATATTTTTTTAAAAAAAGAAAATATAGGGCTGGGGATGTGGCTCAGTAGTAGAGCACTTGCCTAGCATGTGTGAGGCACTGGGTTTGATTCTCAGCACTGCATATAAATAAATAAAATAAAGATCCATTGACAATAAAAAATTATTAAAAATATAAAAGATTATACCTAAAAGGTTATTTGTATAAACTAAGGAGATACAGGATTCATTTTTAAATTAAAGGAGCAGTGGGTAGAGTTAAAATTAGGGAAAATACACTGCTGAGGTGGAAGAAGAAGAATCTTCTTGGTGGAGGAAACAGGCAGGGAAGAAAGAGAGGTTATTCTACTCATTATATTGCAGAGTTATTAAAGCCCAAATATTTCAAAAGGTACCTGCCAACAGCTATAAATGGAGAGAGCCCCTAATAAGAGCAATCTGGGAACCCACTTTGAATGTGGGAGAGCTTTACTAGGTGGCTACAAAATGTTGAGTCTTCTGATCTCCTATATTAGTCCACAAAGAAAAATGTAGGCATGACTAGATTATTTCAAAGAAACAAAATTGGCAGAGAAAGAGGTAAGACCTGAGCCCTTGGAAACACACTAGGATAATAGGGGGTAACCTATATACAGGCAAACAGAGAGAAGATGAGCCACATTAAGGAGCCAGGTGGTCAATGAAAGAACAAGGCCTTAGATGTTGGCCCAGTGAGAATAGCTTATGTTCTCTTGACCCTTTGGATCATTTAAAAGGGTGACATCTGAGAAACTAGAAAATGGATGAGTGCAACCTTAGATGTGCTGGTAAAACATATCCTCACTGCAGCAGAAAGCACAGGTGCTGAAGTAAGTACCCTTAGCCTGAATTGCCCTGAATAAAAACTGGAGAGAAGGGTTCTGAACGTTAAAGAATATGGGTTTTGTTTCGTTAAAATGATAAGTATTTAAAATTGTTGGGGCTTATAGGTTTTCTTCTTGTCATTATCCCATCAGCTAAAGAAGGATAATTGCCAAAAAATGAAAGCAGCTGAACTTCTACTACTTTACAGAGGGTAAAATGATTTCTTAACTTTGTGACCTTGAAAAAAGCCAAGTAAACAGACATATGAAAAATTGTGGTATACAAGTGTAATAAGAATTGTAATGCAAAAAAAAAAACAAAACAAATTTATGTATAAAGACATGAATTGGCGTGAACATATTTATATACAAAGATATGAAAAATTGTGCTTTATGTGTAATAAGAATTGTAATGTGTTCCATAATCGTGTATTTTAAAAAATGAAATCAATTAAATTAAAAAAAAAAGAAAAAAAAACAAGTAAAACTCAAGCATCCAACTTCTCAGTTGAAAATACTATCATTTATCAGGCAAACTCTCCAGATTTTACTGACTGACTTTTCTTCAGTGAAGTCATATTTAAATGTACATTTAAATGTATCTGCCATTATGGTGGACAACATGCTAATTATCTTAGTTAACTTACCATTTTCTGAGTCATCACAGTCAAAAAGTCACTGAAATTCATTTTTCCCGTCCCTTCTTTGTCAATTTCACTTATCATTTTCTTGATTTCTTCTTTCTTAGGTTCAAAGCCCAGGGCTCTCATTGCCACCTATAATTAAAACAGGATTATCTCAATAAGCACATGGAAGTCAAGCAGAGGCAAAAATAACTGCTACAATAATATTAAAGTGATTGAAGAACACATTAACGTAGATCTAACTGATATTTGCAATCACCTTTACTGAATAACACTTGAGGTAAGTAAAAGCAGGAAAAAAAAAAAAAAAAACACAGTACATCCTCCCATTAATTTCTGCAGGGAGAAGAGGGTCCAAAGGATCATGTAGTGAGAAGAAAAAGACAAAGAAGAGGAAAGCCAGTAGAATAGAAAAAATGTAGAGCTTGCCTTTAGTTCCTTAACATCTATGGTCCCAGTTCCATCAGCATCAAAGAGATCAAAAGCTTCCCGAATTTCTTGCTTCTGCTCTTCAGTAAGCTCTGGCTTAGGACTCATCCTTTTTCGCTGGGCACTTGATGCCATATTTGCCTTCTTAAAATTGGAGGCCTTTAAACATTATACAAACACATGAGCATGATACAGTACCTATTTTGTGTAGTTACAGACACCCATGTATATTTTTAAAATATTTTATATCAATTTTAAAGCTCTGCTTAACAAAAAGAGGAAGTTTTACTGGAAAGAACAATGAATCTATTCATGAACCTCTACCCTCCTCTTTCTTTCGTGTTTTTTTTTTTTTTTGAGACCTCTTTTCTCCATATTATACATAATGGTGGGATTCATTGTTACAAATTTGTACTTGCACACAATATAACAATATAATTTCATCTGTATCTTCTCCCATCCCCTCTGTTTTGTTTAGTAGTGTAGTTAGAAGCAAAGAGATACCTTGATCTTAAAAATCATCCAGAAAAACAGCTAGCCAAGGAATTGACTGTGAACAAATAGAAATGCTCAACTCTCTCTGCTTTTCGTGATGCACCCACTTACAGTACTGGTTCCCAAGAAGACTCTGAATTTTCCAATTACTTCTAAATTTTCCCAAATATTATTAAGATATGTATTCTGTCAATATCATGCCACAAACCCAATCCATTCAGCACCTTCATTCCTTTTCCAAGAAGCTGGAAGCACCTCCTGAGTGCCCCATATTTAAATTGCAAAATACGGATTAACAATCAGAACAATACACCACCTGGCCAGTTCTATGGAAAAACTTTAACTGAAGCCAGGGTCTGAAAGGAGTTGGGACTTCTTTGCATATGGAGGGTCACCCAGGGAAATGTCAGAGGAGCCCAAGGGCCGTGTAGAGGCCAGCTGTGGGTGGAGGGGGGTTGGGGGACAATAGCTAAGCGCAGGCCCAGAGGGGCGGCGGGCGGCTCTAGTCTCTACCCTACTCTTCCGGGATAGAGCTCAAAGGAAGAACGGTTGTGCCAAAGCCAAGCAAGGCGCAGGAGAGGCGGCTTGGCGGGACCAGGGCCTGGAAAGGGCTCAGTGTGGGGACGCGCGGAGTGGCCGCGCGGCCAGTACTCACCATTGCAAAAGAACTCCACTGTTGGTTGTTACAGCAACGGCGTACACACAGATTAGGTGCCCGCTGTTCCCACCGTCCCGCGCGCGCGCCCCGGGTTCCCATTGGCCTAGGGCCGGAGTAGGTGGGGCTAACCCGGCAAGGCCGGGGATCAGGGCAAGGGGCGGTGCGCTGACGACTAAGACTTATCCTCATTGGGCAAGATCACACTGCAAACGTCCATTGGCTGATCCTATGCCGAACTGGACCAATCCCGTTGGTGGAGGAAACTCGGCTGATTCTCAGCTCATGCAGGCTAGGAAAAGAGAGGGGTGGTCAGCAGCTGGAACTCTGTGGGTGTAGGCCACGGACAAACGGAGGCAGGCTGAGAGAGCGCCAACAGACAGACGGGTAAGAGTCATGACCTTGTCTTTGGGGGCCGTCTTGTGTCTGCAGCTGGACAGAGCAGGAGGGCGAGGGGCTGAGTGGGGCGGTTCGGGTCGGGGGTTTTCTGGTCTGCCTAGGACTGAGTAAGGGACTCCCAACATCAGAGGGGCCAGAAAAGACGTGAACTTACATGTGGGAATGGGAACTGTATTCACCCGGCAGCTGAGACTAGGAAAGGGTAACAGGCGTGCTGAGCTTTGTTGTCAAGGGTCAGACCTCTGGGACTTAAAAATCTAATTCAACCAAAGTTTTTTTCTTTGAAAGTGTGCCTTGACGGAAGAATCATTTTAGTTTTGACCTGGGTAAAACCAGCCCAGGATAGTGAGCGGGGGACCTTGGGAACAGACTGTTAATGGAGTGAAGAAGATAATAGCAAGTGTGAGGAGCCTGAGAGGTCTTCAAAATATCCTGTTTGGCAACCACCCTCACAATGTAGACAGAGGGGAGCGTCATAGGTCGAGACACCCTCATGAACAAAGTCACAGGAGTGTTGGAAATGTGTAGCGGGCTTGGAAATTTAAAAAAGAGCACATGCAAGGGTATGGCAGAGATGAATTTGCACCCGTGCCTCCTTAACTAGCTCATTGCTTCCCCTCCAAGCGGTGGGACAATAATTTAGGCAAGTTGAGGACAGAATATAAATTTATTGGCTGACAAAGGCTTGGGGCTTATTAGCACCCCACAGGTGGAACTTCTGCCTCTTGAGCAGTGATTCAAGTTTAAAAGCTTTCAGTTATATTTGACACTTTTCCTGTCCCCTACCACATATTGAGCCTCCAAGTTCAAACAGCACTGCCCCTGAAATGCCCTTTCTTTCTCTTTTTGCCCCTGCTGTGTTTCAAGCCTTCATGTTCAGCCTCCCAACTAGTCACAGTCATAGTTCTCATCATGATATGCAAAGCCTGGCATGATGTGCCCCCCAACCATCATCCCCACAGTTGGTCTTCTTTCCCTCTATCCTGGCTCAGTCCAGACCCAGAATGCTGGTTTTGTTGTTGGGTGTCAAATGCCAGGCACTGAACTTTTGTCCCAACTGTCCCTTCTATCTTCTGTGCCCACATCTTTTCTTCTTCCAGGTCTTCACCCAGCTCTCTTCTCAGTGAGACCACCCTTACTTTGAGCACCCTACTTAGTGCTGCAACCCTCAGTACACCCAACCTTACTCTACTTTTTTCCCCCATAGTACTTATTACCTTGTAACCAACTGTCAGTTTTATTTGTTTTGTTCTTTGTTGCCCTGCCACTAAAAGGCAGGCTCCGTGAGGGCAGACATCTTTGTTTTGTTCACTGTTGATGCTCCAGTCCCTGGAATAGGGAGGAGCACATATAGGGACTTAGTAAACCTGTGTCAAACAACTAACCAGTAGCCTCCTGTTTCCTATCTCTCACCTATCTATTCCACCCTGCTCCACCAGATTAATTCTCCCAGTTAACAGCTCTTATCAGGTTAGTGCCCTTCAGAGGCTTCCCATAACTGTGAAGTAAAGTTCATAAAAGCCTCCTGCTCTTTTATCCCTGCGAATGCTTCCAGCTTTCCCTCCATAGCCCTTGTGCTGAAGTCTTGGTTGCCAGCCTGTATCACTGTTGGGAGGTAGTGGAACCTTTAGGAGGTGGGGCCCAGTGAAAGGAAGTCAGATCATTGTGGATGTACTGTAGAAGAGGATATGGAGCCCCTGCCCCTTCCTCTCTATCTCTTTGCTAATCTGCCTCCTTCACTACACACTTCTGCCATCTGTACTGACTGCCTCACGACAAGCCCAGAGCAACAGGGTCAAGAAACTGACATCAAACTTCCAAAACTGTGAGTCAAAATAAACCATTCCTCTTTTTAAGTTGATTATTTCAAATGTTTTGTTAGAGTAATGGAAAGCTGACTGACACACCTTATTTCCCAGTCCACAGGGTGGCAGCCTCACACAGTAGAAGAGATGAACACAAGTTTTATCTGGGCTTTGTGCCAACTGTGTGATCCTGGGCAAGTCCCTTGATTTCTGAGCCTCAGTTTCTCATCTGTTGAGTAAAACCAATGCTGTCTGCTTTACTAGATACTTTTTGAACCTTTTTTTTCTGGTACTGGGGATTGAACTCATGGGCACTCAACCACTGAACCACATCCACAGCCCTGTTTTATATTTTATTTAGAGACAGGGTCTCACTGAGTAGCTTAGTGCCTTGCTTTTTCTGAGGCTGGCTTTGAACTCACAATCCTCCTGCCTCAGCCTCCCGAGCCACTGGGATTGCATGCACCACCATGCCCAGCTTACTTTTTGGATCTTAATGGAATAATATACTCATATATAAAAGAGTCTCCAGGCAATACTAAGTTCTTTTCTCTGACATGTTCTAATGGCATGCCTGGGGCCCTTAGGCTTGGCTAAAATCTCTTCACTGTACAGCCTGAGTGATCTGATCATAACCCACACCCCCGCCTACAACTTCAGGGTCACATAGCCCCTGTATGTTGTCAACTTTATTCCTAGTCTTACTTCACACTTGCCGTGACACAACTTGTCAAGTATCAGAATATGCTGGATCTTTGCCACCATCTTGTTTGACTCATTCTTTGGGGGCCTTACAACTCGGCTTTGGGGTTACTTTTACTGACCCAGCATCCTATATTGGTGGTCTGGTCTTACCCTCCTTGAGGCTCAAACATACTTCTGTAATTCTTTATTGTTGTTTGCACAGGGCTCCTGCTTTGCAATACTTTCTCAAAGAAACTTATCCATAATGAAAGCATGTACCAGCACCAGGAGAATCCCTCTCTTAAACCAGTATCACCAGGGTACTGAGCATGAAGCGAGCAGGGAGGGGAGACAGGAGTCCTCCTTCATAATCTGAGACTCAGTTCCCATACAAAGATTCCAAACAGAGGTCTGAGAAATGTTACTTTGCTTTTCTTGGAGGGCCACACTCTACTGATTGAGTCCTTTGGGGGAGTATATTTTGCCTGGAATCCTGTTCTTGTTTCTTCCTCCAGGTGGGTGCTACCTGCCTGTGGATTACAGTGATAAGCTCCTGGTGGCCAAGTTCTTGCTTCCTGCACTGCACTCCTTTAAAAGGTGGAGGCATTCATCTCTCTTTGTTTGGTTTGAAACATACTGTCCCTTTTGTCTCTAGGAGTCAGTGACCTGGAAGTATCAGGGCTATCTTGTTCTCTTCATCAAATCCTATCAGCAGCCCAAAAGTGGAGCAAGGAGCTTGGATTTCACCAGTACAAGATGAATCTCTCTTCTTAAATCATTATTAGCTTAAGACTCTGTTCCAGTGGAAATGGGGAGTGCACATCCTGGTTTTTAATGGATTCATAGAAGCGTTTGATGTGTAAACCCCTAGAACTTTGCTCCTTGAGGGTCCTATATTCAGTAGTTTAGAGCTATTTTTCAATGTAAACATGTAGTAAAATAGACATAGCTGAAAATGTACATTAACCATTTTTAGGTGTACATGTCAGTGGCTTAAATATATTCCCATCATAGTGCAACCCTCACTACCATCCAGCTCAGAACTCTTCTTATCCTGCAAATTGAAACCCTATATCCATTAATAGTCATTCCATGCCCCCTCCCACAGCCCCTGGCAACTGTTAGTCAGCCTCTATTTGCCTACTCTGGGTACCTCACATGAATGGTACCAGGCAGTATTTGTTCTTTTGTGCCTGGATTATTTATTTCACTTAGTGTGATGTTCTCAAAGTTTATCCATATTGTAGCCTGCATCAGAACTTCATTCCTTTTTATGGCTGAATAATATTCCACGGTATAGATACACCACTTTTGTTTAACCATTCATCCTCCATCAAAAGACTTTTGGGTTGGGTTGCTTTCACCTTTTGTCTGATAGCGAATAATGCTGCTATGAACATGGATGTACAGATATGTGTTCCAAGTGCCAGCTTTCCATTTTGGGGGATCTATACCCACAAGTGAAAATGTTGCCTCATATGGTAATTCTATGTTTAATTTTTGAGTAATTACCATACTGTTTTCCACAGCAGTTATACCACTTTACATACCAGGAAAATTCTATGAGCATGCCATGAGGGTTCCAGTTTCTCCATATCCTCACCAACACTTATTATTTTCTGCTGACTGACTTTTGGATAATAGTCATCCTAATGGATGTGAGGTGGTCTCTCCTTGGGGTTTTAATTTTCCTTCCCTAATGATTAGTGATGTTGAACAATGTTTCAAGTACTCATGAGCCATCTTGAGAAGTATATCTTCTTCAGATAAATGTCTGTTGAATCAGAGCTACTCTTGATATTCTTTAACCTGACTCTCTCCAAAGTCTCTTCGGAGACTCCTTTGTTGCTTCTCTGAGCTTCTGCTGGCCCCAGGCTTTCCTAGACTTATGGCCACTTCATTCTGGTCACTGTAATCATCTTCTCCTGGCATCCTCCTCTTCTCTCTGTATCTCTTCTCTTTGTGTCTTGCAGGAACACTTGTCACTGGATTAGGGCCCACCAGAATAACCTCCTCATCATCTATACTTCCACAAAGGCCCTTTCTCTGAATCAGGGTACATTCACAGGTTCCAGAGATTAGAATGGAAAMACATCTTCAGGGGGGTTACCACTCACCCCTCTGTAATAGTCCAGCAGTGTCTTCACATGGCTGTAGGGATGATAAATCTAATCTTTTGCTTTAATTAAGAACTGAATAAAGCATATTTAGGTCATTCATTGTGTTATTCTTTGAAGAGGTGGAAGAAAGGGGGTCATACCTCTTTCTACCCAAATTTGTAAGTTTCAATCTATCTTATTCTTTCATGTGTGCTAGGGATGGAACCCAGGCCTTGAGCATGTTAAGCACACACTCTACCACTGAGCTAAACCCCAGCCCTGTGTTATTCCTTTTTCACATTCTGTGTATATACTTTACAAAGTATACCCATTAGGCAGCATGGGCTTGTTGAGGCCTGGAAGCCGTTTCTAGGGTGTGTGCTTCCAAGCTTATACCACATGAGTGTGGGTAAACAGCAAAGGTATAAAGCAATGGAAACTTCAAAGATGACCAATAAGGAGGTGGGGTAAAGTAGACTGCTGCAGAGGAAGTAACATTTCTGATGATAGTAATAGTGGTCTTTAATGGTGTGGTCACATTCTTTGGCACTGTGTTGAGGGTGTTGCATGCATTTTCTCATTTACTCCTTATAGTGATCTTATGAGGCTATTCACTTTCCAGATGAGGAAGCAGGCACAGCTCTTCAAATAACTCCCCAGAGGGCATCCTGTTGGTAAGAAGCTGAGCTGGGATTTGAACTCATGCAGCTCTGGATTCATTAAAATATTGCCAACTGTGTTGAAGAGGGGGGTAATTTATGCTTTTCATAGGCAGCAAAGGGGAGCAGAGACTTTGAGGAGCCGAGGCCTCCAGTCTTGGGCCAACATAGCCTGGTTAGCCCTGTCATTGGATCCTGCAAGCTTCTGAGCAGAAGACCATCATGGCCTCATCCTCAGACCTCTTCCTAACAGAGGTCAATAATGACCTTGGCAGGGTCTGAAGTTGGATTGGGGTGGAGGAATGTCCTTATCTCATGGATGTCATATGCCTTCCTGTTTGCTCGTCTTTCCCTGAGAATCAGTGGATATTTTGATTATAGTACAAACAAAACCAGATGCCTAACAGAGCTCCTAGATGGAAGTTTAGATGAGAATTTCTGTAGGTGATGTTGAGCAACAGGGGCTCTGTGCAGGTGTGTGCATATACACATACATAGCTATGAGTCTGGCAGACACACAGGTGCCCACTTGGTACTGGGCTGCATGCCTGTGATACAGCACCAAAAAAGACAGCTCAGACTCTGAGGTTTTTTGGAACAAGGTACTAAAATCCAATTTCCATTTACTCTGGTCCTATTACACATTGAGCCAAATGAGTCAAATTTTAGCTATATGCATTTGGGATAAACAGATGACAGGGCCCCAGCCAGTGTGCATGGCACTGTGGGATAAAGGGGGGGTCATAGAAGGCACAGAACTACAGACTGACTTTGCTTTTTCATTGGATGTATTGTACTAAGGCCCAGGCATAATCAAACTTTGAAATACATTTTTCTAATAACTTCTATTATGAGTTCAAAAAAGTGTGCACCTCAAATGGCCCCATCAGACATTGAGAGTCCAAACATCCATTTCAAGGCCATTTCATCCTTCCATATTCCCACAAAATCTATACACTCACGTAATCAGCTCCTATGGGGACACATGTTAGCCCACTTGTTGAACATGGTGGGGGGTGGGGTGAAACTCCAGGTGTGTGATCGGATTGGAGAAATTGTAATGCTTGAGATATGATGCTGGCCACCTGTCTGCTGCCTCTTCACTCAAATAGTGTTCTCTGAATCTAAGCTTTCACAGGCCAGTAAAAAGGAAACAGAGATGCAAGAACAAATACCTCATAAATGAATTGTGTTGGCAATTCCATATTGTGTGTAAAGGAAGAGGGAAGCATACCCTAAGAGTTGTACTTGTGGTAACATGGTTGGACTTCATCACTATTCTCTCCTGGTTTTGAGCTGGTTGGTCCCTGCCACTGATTATTTCCTGAGGGTTTCAGACACTCTGAGTTCTTTCACCCAAAGTCAAGATGGCTTTGGCCTAACATCAAGAGAGTTCTGTCTCTTACTACACTCTGCCCATCACCTGCCCAGCATCCTATGCCCTGACATCATAGGCATGAGCACACAAATCCCTTTTATTGATGGGCAAACAGAGTCACAGCAAAGAGGAATGACTGGAGCAGATTTGTGAAGTTCATGACAAGACCGGGGCCAGAACCCAGGATTCCCTAGGCCTGTGCACTGCCACCATCTAACAAGTACCCCAAGAGAAAGCAAAAATGATTAAAGTATGTTTGGCATGTGGCAAAAGCTACAACACAGTGTTCTTATTTTCCTAACTGGTAAATGAGATCATGTAACTGACTTCCCACTGTGCCTACGTTTCAAGTATATGGATTTATGAACCCTGCCATACCCTGAGAGTGCAACCTGCATCACCGGAACATGAACTGACTGCTTAAGCCAACAGCTATAGTTGCAGTTCAACTATTTGTGAAAACAGCAATTGAAATGGGGATGGCATGCTTTATATAACATTAGTATCTATCTCTAAATATGTCTTCAGGAAGAAGAAAAGTTGAGTGTAAACAAGACCATATTTTGAGCCATAATGGAACAAGTAGTTGGTGAGGCAGTGAGAGAACAGGTCACACGGACCCATGTGATAGAGGACATTCCCAAGGTAAGTACAGCCATAAAAAGGTTAACTAAAGTCGGGTAGGGAAAATGTCGAGTACATACTTACCAGCAAGCCACTGATGTTTACCTCTAGGCTGCAATATGCATTTATTACATCAATGAAATGCAGATATTTTTAACAAGATACACATATTTAAGATGTATCTGTTACTGCTGTGTACCAGACAATATTAGAATACAGTGATTTGAAATAACAACAGTTCCTTTATTCACAACTCTGTGGTTTGAGCTGAGTACAGTTAGGGGATTGTTGCTAGTCTTGCCCAGGTTCACTTGTGCAGCAGCAGGCACACAGAGGACCCCTAGGTGTGTGTTCCCAGGGTGCCTCTTATGCACTTATTGGCAGTTAACTGTTGGCTATTGGTCAGGCAGTTCAGTTTGCCTGCAGTAGGCTAGATGGGGCTTCCTAGTAGACTAGCATAGGAAACAGTATATAGAAAAGTTAGAGACAGGGTCTCACTGAGTTGCTTAGTGCCTTGCCATTGCTGAGGCTGGCTTTGAATTTGCAAGCCTCCTGCCTCAGCCTTCCAAACCACTTGGATTATAGCCATATGCCACCACACCTGGCCCTACTTTTTGGGTTTTGAATGGTGAGGTCAGTTATGTCAGTGGATTATACAAGAACAAATGATGGTAAAGTTAGGCTGCTATCTCTAGGTGGGTTTGGTGGAATCTAGTAAAAGTGCCATTTCAGATAGAACACCCAGACTGGGAGAGAGGCAGATCTGTAGAAGGTGGATGGCCCTGGCATTCCTTGAGTTTCACGTAGCTCAGTTGTGTTGATGTTTAAGGAATAAGTAAGGAGGTTGATTGGTTTTTAATCAGAACAGAAACTCTTTAAAATCTTTAGTTTCACACATTCAACTTTGATATATTCTATATAAACTAAGGAAAATGGGGGTTTATTTTGTTGAAAAGAAACCCAGATATAATTTTGGCAATATCCTAGGAAAGAAGAATATCACACATCATCTTTGGGGACACTTATAGCCAACATATTCAGCAGGCAACAGCAACAACTTTGCATTGACAGCCTGGAGTTCAAATATGCATGTGTCTGCATGTAGTGCTTTGTCCTTCCATTATCTCCAGTTCCCAGAGTTGTAATTTAGCCAAGAATCTGGGCCCACTTGGGAGGCTGAGATGTAAGCATCACAGCTTACTACTAATTTGTCAGCTCTTCAGAATTCAGAGAAGGGAAGCAAAGCCATGGGCCTGGGTGCCAAGCAGCTGTCTGATTGTATCTACAGTACTACCAGGAGATCTCACTGGGACAGTCTTCATTGGTTAAGCTGAAGCAGGAAGGGGTTAGGTGACAAGTCCTAGCCTTATTGTGGTCAAGAAGGCACTTTGTCCTATCAATATGGAGACTGCTCCTTTCTGATTTAAGCGCAAACTCTTAAATGACTGGCTTTTTGTTTGTTGTTTTTGTTTGTTTGTATTAGAGAAGTGCCCAGAAATCAGATATGAGGAGCAAGAAAGTATCACCTTTGTTTTTTGTTTTTCTTTTTTTTTTTCTTTTAGATTATCCAGGTTGGGGCTGGGAATATAGCTCAGTGGTAAAGTGTTTGCCTACCAAGCGCAAAGCCCTGGGTTCCATTCTCAGCACTGAGGAAAAAAATAAATAGGTCATCCAGGTTTGATCATAGATGGTTTAATTTCCCTTCACTAAATACAAAGCATGAGAATTGTCATCAAATCCACCAAGGTCTATTTTAGAACTATTTGCTCTGTCTTTCCTTCTTGCTGGTCCCAGCAGAGAAGGTGGCACTGATGATGGAACACTTGAATTATATAAAGCATCTCCCTGGGCTTACAGTTTCAAACAAACATACCTGCCATTGCAGTGGCTCACAACACATAAGTCTAGCCTCCCACTAGCTTCTGGTCATCACCATGCTGGTTCTTCTGACAACTTTCTCTTTCTGTAGGTTAAGAACTGCACAGTGATTGGAGGCTCTGGATTCCTGGGGCAGCACATGGTGGAGCAGTTGCTTGCAAGGGGCTATACCGTCAACGTATTCGATATCCGGCAAGGTTTTGATAATCCCCGGGTGCAGTTCTTTCTGGGTGACCTCTGCAACCAAGAGGTAATGGTCTCTGCACCCTTGCCAATCTCCCACACACACACTCAGGGGAAACCATAGCACTTCCTGTGCTTAGAGACCAACCAAATTGTTTGGGAGAAATGATTTTATTTTGAAAGATATAGAAAAGAGTTTAACACACACCACATTGCTAGTATTCATAATGAATAACTGGCATCTACATCACAGCAGCTCAGCTCTGTCATGAGAGCAAAAGCAGCAACACTTCCTACTTAAATGACCAGATGTGTCTGTGTACCAATAAAACTTCTGGTAAAACCAAAAGTTTTACCAAAAATGTCATGGATTGTAGTGTGCTGACTGCAGATGCTGGGCCTCAGAGTTCATCTTCCTTTCAATTAAGGTAGAATGCACATACTGTATGCTTCATATTTTAAAGTGTATAGTTCAGTGGTTTTGACTGTATCCACAAAGTCATGTACCAAAACATTTTTATCACCCCAAAAGGAAATCCTATACACTGACTTCCCATTCCCTCCCCACTAGCCCCTGACAACCACTCTGCTTTTCAGTTGCTGGATTTCCCTGTTCTGGAAATTTCATAGCAGTAGAATCATCCAATAGGTGACCTTTTTGTGACTGGCTTCTTTCCCTTAACATCATGTTTTCAAGGTTCATTCATGTTGTAAGCGTATTAATATTTTGAATTTTATCAAATGTTGCCAAATTGCTCTACAAAGCTGCTTTCTCTGTTTGTCATTTCCCACCAGCAGTGTGGGAGGATCTCCATGGCTCTACATCCTTGCCAACATTGGCCTAATTATTAGACTTTTTGGTGTTTCCATTCTGAAGAGTATGAAATGTAACTTGGTGCTATTTAGAGTCACATGTCTTCCTTGATCCTACTCTTGCAAAGCCATGTGTGCTTTCTCTCCCGTGCTATATAAATTACTCTTCAGGGCCTAGAGATGGGGTAGATGCTTTCCTTCCTCCCTCTCTGTGCCCTGAGCCTCTCCAACATTGAAGACAGTACAAACCCTTCCTTGTGGCAGCTACCCACAGCTCCTTCCCAGGTGACTCCTCATCATTCTGTAATGATTTTATCTCCTGGCTGATGCCAACTACATCAACCACATTTCCAGCATTATCATTGGTGAAGACTGCATTCATGAAGATGACCCTACCAATACCCTTGCCTCTCTTCCTTGGCCTCTTCTCTCTAAAGAATGATCTCATCCTCTACTCCCATTGTCATTTCCTAGATCACCTCTAGAAAACACATCTTCTCCTTAATCTCAGTTGTAGGCATCTCCTCTTTTTTTCAGCTCAGACCCTCTAATTAATATCCCAGCCTGAACAACTCATGATTCCACTCAGACATGCAGTCATTTCCACTGTCCCTCACCCCATTCTGTGCTCACTGCCATTGCTTCCATTGTGCCCTTACTCCCCTGCATAACCTTTGTTTTTGTCTTTGCCCCTTTTTCTTCTCATTATGTGTATCAGTCAAGGTTCTCCCAAAAAGCAACCAATAAGGTAGGGTTGTTGAGGGAGGAGAGAGAGGTTGAGATTTAATTGAAGGAATTGGTTTATGTAATTGTGGGAGCAGGCTGGGAACATCTGAAATTTGCAGGACTGATAGGAAGCTCAGACAGAAGTTTATGGGGCAACCCAAGTTAGAATTTCTTCTTACTAAACCCTCAGTTTTGCTTCCCCCCCCATTGTATGTTCTTTATTTTAAATACCTTGAAATGCAATTAATATACATAAGGCTTTACAATATAAAGTGTAAAATTCAGTGGTTTTTGATAGGTTCCAAATTATGAAGTCATCACCCAAAGCAAACTTCAGAACATTTTCATCACCCAGTAGAAAACTTCATACCCATTTGTAGTTGCTCCCCTCCTCCCCTCCCCTCAAGCCCTAGACGACCACTGATCCAGTTATATCTTTCTTGACATTTTATTTTAATAGAAACATATACCATATGGTCTCTTGTGACTGGCTTCTTTAACCTATTTTTTTTGAGATTTTATTATATCACATATCAGTACTTCATTTATTTTTATTGCTGAATAATATTTCATGGTATGGATGAATCAAATTGTATTCAGCTATTCATTTATAGATGAATGTTTGGGTTGTTTTTACTTTGGGGCTATTATGAATTATACTGCTATGAATATTCTGTGTCTGAATTTTTGCATGAATGTATGTTTTCATTTCTTTAAGGTACACATACAGGGTGGGTGATATGGTAACTCTGCATTTCACTTTTTATTGATGCATAATAATTGCACAGAATACAGGGTTTCATTGTGGCTCTTCATACAAGCATGTAACATAAATTGATCAATTTCACTTCTCAGTACTCACCTTCTGCTCTCTCTTTGATCACCTTCTTCTAGACTAATGGTTTCTCTTCTACATTCATGACATCCTTTCCCATCTAACTTCCACATATAAGAGAAAACATACAGTATTTGTCTTTCTGTATTTAGATTATTTCTCTTAACATAAAGATCTTCAGTTCTATTCTTTTTCCTGAAAATGACATAAGTTTATTCTTCCTGTAGCTGAATAATAATACTCTGCTACATGAAAAACGTGATATATATACACATATATGATAGACATCTAAATCACATGTTCTTTATTCATTCATCTGTTGACAAACATCTAAGCTGATTTCATAACTGGGCTCTTGTGAGTTGTACCATAATAAAAATGGGAATGCATGTATTTCTAAAGTATGCTAAATTTAATTTTTTCAGATAAATACTGAGAAATGGTATTCCTGGGTCATATGGTAGTTCTACTTTTAGCTTTTTGAGGAATTTTCATATTGTTTTCCATTGTGGCCATACTAATTTATATTCCCAACAACAACAATATATCAGGGTTTCTTCTTCCCTGCATCCTCCCCAGATTTTATTATTATTTTTATTCATGATGATAGCCATACTGACTCTGTTGGTATAGAATCTAACTTTTGGTTAGTTGGGATAAGAGTTTATCACCTTATTTATATTTTTAAAGAACTCACTCTGTTTCATTGACATTTTGTATTGTTCTTTTATTTTCTATTTCATCTCTGATCTTTATTATTTACTTCCTTCTCCTGGCTTTGGTATTGGTTTGTTCTTGTTTTTCTAAGTCCTTGAAATGCATCATTAGGTTATTTATTTGAAATCTCTCTGATTTTTATTAATTGGATTATTTGTTTGGGTTTTTTTGTTTGTTTGTTTGTTTTGGTTTTCGATATTAAGCCTTTTGAGTTCTTTCCATATTTTAGATTTTAATATCCTATCAGAAAAGTATCTGGCAAAGATTTTTCACCCATTCTGTAGGCTCTGTCTTCATGCTCTTAATAATTTCCATTGTTGTACAGACAGTTTTTAATTTGATGGCATCCCACTTATTGATTTTTTGGTTTTATTTCTTGAGCTTTAGGAGTCTTGTTAAGGAAGTCAGTGTCTGCATAAATATGATGGAATACTGACCCTGTGTTTTCTTCTAGAAGTTTCAAAATTTCTGGTCTAAAAAGTTTTTGATCCACTTTGATTGACTTTTGTGTAGGGTAAGAGATAGGAATCTAGTTTCCTTCCTCTACATATGAATATCCAGTTTTCCCAGCAACATTTGTTTAAAAACCTATCTTTTCCCCCAAAATCTTTTTTTGGCATGTTCAGCAAAGGTGGTTCTAAGAGGGAAGTTTATCACTATGAGTCCCTACAGGGGGAAAAAATCAGAGAGTTGGAAGACTGGGGCAGAAAGATTGCAAGTTTGAGACCAGCCTGAGCAACTTAGTGAGGCCCTGTCTCAAAATTTTAAAAGGGGGGGATGTAGCTCAGTGGTAGAGCACCCCTGGGTTCAGTTTTGCTCTTAATGCCTTTGTGTGGTTAGGTGCAGTCCACTCAGATTATCCAGGATAGTGTCCTTTACCTAACATCAGCTGATTGTGGATGTTAACCCTAGACTAGTGCTAGATGAGATCACTGGGAGCCAGACACATAAAAATCCCTGTCATGTAGTACTTAACATTGTCGTCCCATCCCTGGTAAAATCCAGTTCTCTCTCTTCCCTGTGTATCTGGGCAGCTGGACTGGGCCAGAGAGGAGGAGATGTGCTGGTCGCTTCTTGCTCTATCTCTGGCCATGGCCCTCAAGCCTCCCCCAGTGCCACCCAGCCCTACATCTGCATCCTGCCTCCCCTGCCCTGCCAGAACATGCCTCATCTTTGGGAAAGCTCCCATCTGGTGCCAGCTGGAATGACCCTCCCCTTCCGTACTCAGTGAGTGCACTAGGGATTCATCCCACTCTCTCCTGCATTAGATCAGCTGTCAATGCACAGACCCCTGTGTTGGCCATCTTAACACCATGCCCCAGCCCAGCTGCTGCCATGGATAGCAGAGCTCAAAGAGTCATTTGTATTCATGACCTCTGCAATCCTTCTGAAAGGACTTTGAGGTGACTGTATCTGGTGGTTGAGTCTCATCCTCATAAGACCTTGGCCCTTCAGTGGCATCTGGTGCTTTCTTAGCTTGCCTTCTAAGATGTCACACTCACTCATTCTACTACCTTGGTGATTTCCCCTTCTCAGTCTCCATAGCTCTATAATTTCTAAACTTTGCAGGCTCCAGGGCTTTCCATGAATCTCTTTTCTAACTACATTCTGTGTCCTGGTGAATCCATCCCACCTCAGGGATTTAATATTCTCTAGAAGCTTCTAATCCCCCAGCTGGGTATGTCCAGCCTTGCACATGTCTAATTACCTGCTGGACATTCACACTTGCCATATCTATACTTGTCCCTACCATAGGCTCCTTCCTTACCAAGCAAACTTACTCCTTCTGAAGTCTTCTCAAGCCCTAAAAGTGGCCCACTCTGTCTTTCCAGTTTCATTGGCCAAAAGCCTCAGATTCATCTTTGATTCCTTTCTGTCTCATCCCATTCAACAGAAAACCTTGTTGACTCTACTGTGATCCAGTAACTTTTCACCCTTTTCGTAGCTACTATCCTGGTCTAAGGATAATAGATCATCATCTTCCACCTAGATGTTAGAGGGAACCTTTTAATGCAGAACTGAGATCCTATCACTCCTCTGTCCTACAACCTCCAATGGCATCCAGTCCCATTTAGAGCAAATAACAAACATCACCACTTACACAATATGTCCCTAACCCCTCCCTAGCCTCCCTCTCACCCACATTTCCCCTCATTGCTGTGCTGTGGTCACACTGGCCATCTTAACGCTTCTCTAACTGACCAACCAAGTTTCTGCCTCAGAAACTTTGCATTTGCTGTCCTTTCTGCAGGATTTGTTTTTTGTTTTTAAATTTTTTTATACTTATAGATGGACAGCATGTCTGTGTTTTATTTGTTTATTTTTATGTGGTGCTAAGGATTGAACCCAGTGCCTCACACATTCCCTGCAGGAATGTTTTATGAAGCATAGAGCCTGCTTCCTCACTTCCTGTAGATCTGTGGGCACTGTATGTTAAGCAGCCTGCCCCTCCTAATCCTCTTACTCTGCATTCTTTCTGCATAACACTTGGCAAGAGCTGATATACTCGGTATCCACTTGTTTGTATCCTTATTTGTTCTTTCCACCAGAAAACATCATCTCCACAAACACAGAGATTTTGACTCTTTTTTTGATCACTGTTGCATCTCCTCTAAAGAGACAGGATCCATAGCCAACTTTTAACTTCTCTCCAAAACATTCCCCCAACTGTTTGTGCTATGGTTATTGGTATATTATTTCCATTTTTGCTTAAATCCAATTTTAAAGGGAGATCCTTAGGGGGTTTTCCACACACTGAGTGTCAGAAATGATCTGTGCTGTCAGAGTAGGAGACACTGAGTTGGAGTTAGCTTTTCCTCAACATCACCAGAACCCCAAATTTCTTAGGACCAAATTGATGAGGACATGACCAAAGGACAAAGAAGCCAACTTGAAGGGCCAATACTGACCAACTTTGAGAAAATGGTAATAGTAGTGGATTTTTTTTTAATTCTTTTTTTTTTAAGAGAGAGAGAAGTTTTTTAATATTTTTTTTTTTTTTAGTTCTCGGTGGACACAACATCTTTGTTTGTATGTGGTGCTGAGGATCGAACCCGGGCCGCACGCATGCCAGGCGAGCACGCTACCGCTTGAGCCACATCTCCAGCCCCAGTAGTGGATTTTAATATATTGAATTAAAAAGAATCTATGTGACCATAGAAATACTGAAAAGAAAATTAGTTTTGAGTGGAAAGGAAGCTCTACTTTACAGAGGAATTACAGTTAATAAGTATAAAAGACATGTTTAGCATGAGAATGTCATCATTTTGCAACCAGTCCATTGATAAGTGTTCCAGGCAAGATCAATCAATATATGTTGAAATCAGTCATGGGATGATCACCTCACAGATGATTTACTGATTGCAAAGGAGTAAAGTTACCTTTGGATGGCCAGAATCAGGCAACTGTCTACTTTAGTGAACGTTCCAACTGAGCATCATAATCAATGGGACAAACATGTGCCTCACAAGGTATGCCTACCCTGAGAAAGACATACCTGCACCAATGTGAAATTTTTGCCAAAACTATTGAGCCTGAATATAATCCTGAGGAAACAAACAGATGCCCATTGAGGGACAATCAGTAAAATAACCAACTTGACTCTTTGAAAAATAGCACTATTACAAAAGATAAAGAAAAAACAGAGTTCTAGACTCCAGGTAAAAACAGCTATAAAGGACATCATCAGCACAATTAGGGAAACTTGAATATAGACTCACTGTTAGATAGGAGTAACCAATCTGTTGGAATTTGCCTTGTGATCACTATTTTGAGGTTATTCAGAATGTCTTTGTTCTTAGGAGTTGTATGATAAAAATTTCAGAGGCAAGATTAATGTCTGTATAAATAGAGAGGAAATTGTGGCAAAACATTGATTAGTGAATCTTGACACATCATTCATAGTTTTCTTTCTTTGATAGTAATCATACCTAGATCCCATTATTTCATCAAGATTTGGTGAAATGGTGATGTACCCTTATTTTCTCTTCCCTTGGTCACTTGTACCTTTGTACTTTGCACATATTAAATGGTTGATTCTTCCCCTTGTACTTGATCGTCTCACAAAGAGTTGTTCTTACTGATGATCAAACTACCTTTTCTTTGGCCAGTTGAGGCCTCTTCGTGTTGGCTCTTGAGTACCTTCTACATGTCCTTGGTAATCTTGGCAATCTTTCTTACTTTCTGATAATGGCAAGGTGTTCCTGATTCAACTTATGTATTTCCTGCCTCAAATGTGCAACTCTTCATTTCTCTCAGGAGATTCCTTTAAGTAGTAAATTTAGTGTTTTAAACTCTCTTTCGGGTTGTACATTGTATCTGGTCTCTCTATTGATAGTGTAGGATGTTTTCATATGACTTATACTTTTTGCGTATGAACTCACCTTGTCCTAATGGGAGTTCTACTCCCCCCTGCCAGATTCCTTAAACATGTAGAGGGTGTTGTCTCCAGATCCCATAGTCTTCCAATGCCCCCAAACTCTGTTTACTGGGGACTAGTTCATGGAAAGGGGGTTGTCAAAGGGACAACTTGCTTTCTAGTGCATGCACTTCTGTATTGTTTGAATCTTTTACAAGAATGTGTTTCCATATTGATTGTAGAATTATAAAAAGGCAAGCAGCCTACTAGATACAGATTACAGAGTCAGAATAGGAGAAGACTGTTGACCTGCCCAGAGCACGAATGATTCTTTTGTCTTTGTTTGCTTTTCCAGGACCTGTACCCAGCTCTGAAAGGTGTAAGCACAGTTTTCCACTGTGCATCACCCCCACCATCCAGTAACAACAAGGAGCTCTTTTATAGAGTGAATTTCATTGGCACCAAGAATGTCATTGAAACTTGCAAAAAGGCTGGAGTTCAGGTAAGGCAAAGGCAGTGGAAAGTGCTATCAGGAACATGTGACCCCATGCAAGGGTGAGAGCTACAGTTCCTCTTACAGTCTTCCTGGGATTAGCCACAGTCTGTTGTTTCTTAAATTTAAAGATCTTAGCATTTGAACCCTGGGTGTCACTTACAATCATGCCAAGGCCTGTTAGAGTTTTAATATTCTAACCACATATCAGTAGACCATCTGAGGACCCTAAGGCCTATTAGTCTTTGAGTAAAGAGCTACAAAATTGAGATAATTGCTTTTATTGTTATTGTGACAAAATACACATAACATTTTTTACCCATTTTAGATATATGTTCAGTGGCATTATGGCTGTTCCCATTGTTGTGCAGCCATCATCACCATCTATCTCCAGGACTTTCTTCTTCCCCAACAGAAACTCTGCCTCCATTGAACAATTCTCCATTCCTCCCTCTATCCAGTTTCTGGCACCTACCATTTTACTGTGTTGTCTGTGTGAAACCTGACTACTATAGGGACCTCGTATAATATATGTCCTCTTATGATGGGCTCATTTCACTTAATCTAATGTCTTCAAGGTTCATCCATGTTGTGGTGTGTGTTGGGGCTTTCCCACCTTAAGCTGAATATATTCCATCTTATGAATGGACCACATTTTGTTCATCTACCTGTGGACATTTGTGTTATTATCACCTTTGGGCTGTTGTGAACGATGCTGCTATGAATAAGGTTGTACAAATATCTGTCCCAGGGCCTGCTTTCATTTCTTTGATGTCTGCATCCAGAAGTGGGATTGCTGGATCTGAGAGGATATGAATTTGTGCCATGTGGTAGCTTTCTGCACTGTTGTTACAAATCTTGGTCCTGGGAATGACCTTTGTGGGACTCAAGCCAGTGGATATAACAGCTCCCTCATGGTGATGCTTGCAAGAAACAATGTATAACTAGAACAAAAGCCTTCAGTGAGCTGGGAATCCTTCTCCCAGTGCTCCTTCTGGGTACTATCAGCTAGTCCCTGGCATGATTGTCTGGCCCAGTAAGAATAGGTGGGCTCCCATCAGTGTTAATAATAGCAACCCTTACACTTTGCACTTGAAAAGACACCCTGCCCTTCTGTGGTTCCCTCCTATTTTTCTCCTTGATAGGTAGCCAGGGGCTAAGTGAAGTCTATCAGTAAATGGAACAGGTGGGATTTCAAGCATATCCTCTGATGCCAAGTTCCAGACTCTCCACTTTGTCTTACATAACTGAAGCTCTGCAAAGTCCACTACTGCTATGGTTAAATGGAAGGGAACAGGCTTAAAAGAAGATTCCAGAATAGTACAACACCCATATATTCATCATAGTCTTTAAAGGTCTTAGCATCTTGGCAGAGATTAAGTCTCCTGTGTACCCTTCCTCAGTAACATTGCTCCCCTTCTTTACCCACATGTAGCAATATTCTGAATCTAGATTTATCATTTGTTTATTCCATATGCAGTCAGTATGAAGTCTTATTCTGCATGTTATAAAACCTTATAAAATGGTATTATATTGAACATGTCCTCCTGCAACTTGCTCTTTTCCAGTATTATGCTTTTGGGGTTCTGTCCATCTTGGAATACAGAACTGTTGTTCATTTGCTGAAAGAGAAGAATAGCTTAGTAAGTAGGGGTGTAGGAAATGACTTTCTGTGTTGTATTTAAGAAAATATTTCCAACACGATGATCAAAATATTATTTAATGTATTTTATCTTAAAGATTTAAAGCATTGCTTCCCACATTGAAGCCCTTTGATCTATCAGGAATCGATTTATGTTTATATTTATATACAGTGAGGTTGAAATCAAGTCTTTTTCTCCACACAGATGACCAGTTCAGCCCAGACATGGTATAATTCTTTTCTTACTGTTCAGCGCCACCTACAGCATGCAGCAAGCCATGCTTTCAGTGTTTGTATCTGAACTGAGCCTATTCCCATGCTCCCTCCTCTGCTGTGCTGGCCTCTATCTGTGCCCGTGCTGGGAGGGAAGTTTGTGGGCTGTTTTTCCCCCATGAAGAATCTATCTGATAGTGACATACTATGAATAATGGGAATCTGTTCTGTCCCTCGGGTGTAACAAGATAGAAAAAAACAGTAGGTCCAGTGTTTCAGATTGTAATACCATGAAGTATCTGGAATCCACATAGCTGCAGAAGGTGGTGATTATCTTAAGAAGGACCAAAAAGCAAAGGCATTGCAGCTAATAAATAGTGCAGACACTCACGTGTTAGGCTAGGGAACAGGCGCCATTTCATTCTCACACATACACGACTTTCAGGCTGTTGGAATTGCAATAATTTCTGACTCATATTTTTCTTTAAATCTTCCTCTGCCAGAAACTCATTTTGACCAGCAGTGCTAGTGTCATCTTTGAGGGCAGTGACATCAAAAATGGAACCGAAGACCTTCCTTATGCCATGAAACCCATAGACTACTACACAGAGACTAAGATCCTACAAGAGAGAGTATGTACCTTAGACCCACTTGAGTGAGTGGACATCTGAAGGGTTTATATTCTTAAGAAAAATGTGGGAACATAGAAAGTTAGCATTCTGAGGCCTGAGTATCAAACTTGGGAAGTAAAATGTGTAGGTGAATTAAATTTTAAAATAAAAACAGTATATTGGGGCTGGGGATGTGGCTCAAGTGGTAGTGCACTTGCCTGGCATGCATGTGGCCCGGGTTCGATCCTCAGCACCACATACAAACAACGATGTTGTGTCCGCCGAAAACTAAAAAAAAAAAAAAATTAAAAAATCCC